ACACACACACACACACACACACACACACACACACACACACACACACACACACACACCACTCCCTGTCTCTCTCCTCTTTCCCACTCCAAGCCCCCAACTTTACGATTAACTAGGATGGGATTGTCCCTCCTTGCTGCCGACCCTGATTTTAAGGAACCTGATCAAAAGAACGCAATTCACTGTTTGTGCTCACAGATTGGCAATTTGACCCGTATTTTCTGATCAAGCTGTTCAGAGCTGGTGGGACTTGAACCCAGGCCTCTGGTCCGCGGGTAGGACACTGTGCCATAAGAAGCCCCTGAACTTTTTTTTTAAAACCTACTTTTCTAATTAGTCTGTTCAGATATTATTACACACATCTGGAGCAGGTAGGACTTGAATCTCAGCCTCTCTGTTCAGTTGTAGGGACTCCACAAAGTTTGACAACGTGACCAATTCAATTTGAAGCAGCTGCAGGTACTGAAACCTAAATTAACATGTAGAGGTTTGTTCTAAAGTTAAATGGTCTAGGCCCAGGTCAGTTTGTGAAGCCTTTTGGAGTTGGTACTAATTAAGATCAACTCAATGTTCTAATTCCTTTTCCTTGCCATCCAGACAAGTATCTATGCAGTTCCAGTATTATCTGCCAGCTTACCCACCATCGGCTGCCATTCCCGGCTACTCAACGCTGGCACACACCTTCCCAATAAGCAGCACAGTGTCTACAATACGCCAATACCCAGGTACAGATCTACTGCATTAATTCATTCGTGTATTTTTACAGCAGCCAGGATGGGAATGAATGTGGAACAATGAGCTGTCAGAGGAGTTGAGTCGAGGGAGTGTTGAAAGCTCAAATAGTAAATGCTGGAAGTACTCAGCAGATCATACAACTGTGGAGAGTGGAACAGAGTTAATGTTTCAGATTGCTGACTGAAATGTTTTTGCTATGCAATGTTAACTCTTTCCCTTTCCACAAATGTGCCCTGACCTACTGAATATTTCCAGCATTTTCTGTCTATATTTCAGACTTCCAGCATCCACAATGCTTTGATTTTATATAACTCTTTAAAGATGAGTTTGTTGGCTTAATAAACTAAGAAATTCTGAGGGTCTGCCATTCGATTTGAACTCCCATTTTGTCAGTAGCTTCCTTGAACTCTGCCTCTAAATAAGTCTGCTTGGAACCATACAGTATTGAGCTCCCAAAGATAAATATATCCATTTAAGAACATGACAACACCCTACTGGATTTTAAATTTTGCAATATCTTTCAAAAAGAATCCAGCTTAATTGAAAGTATGCATTTTGACTGACCTAATTTCCTGCACTAAATTTCACCACAGGTGTTTAATGGCTATACAGTAATGTTCATGTGACTATTAATTGCACAATAATTAGCTTGTACATTTAACACTAACTGTCATGAAGGTTTGTGTCTGTGATCTTTGCATTATTCCCATTGAAGTGAAATAAAATGTCATGGAACAATCTTGTAATATTCTCTTTAATTATGATAGAGAGCTGCTTGACGTATTTCATGCTGTTGTCAAAAATTCCAACTGTGATTTGGTGTGGATATTGAGAGTTAAAATTTAGATAAGATTGCTTTGACATTTGATGTTACAGTTAGTGACAAGTTGTGCTGTTCTTATTATTAATGGAAATTCTGTTACTTAATTAAGTCTGTCTCCTGTAGAGATATTTTCAGTCTTGGCTGGGCTACATAATCGCAGATGTTCTTGCATCTTCAGTAAACACCTAAAACTTAATTTCTACAGTGCCAAAAGTGTATTGTATAAATTTAAATCAATGCTTTTTATAAAGTGCATGACATGGTAAATAGACTTTTCAACTGATTTTTAAACCACTCCCAGTGTGTATTTTTTTTTAACTTCATCAATTTTTTTTTTTTACAAAGTAACCACTGTTAAATGAACCCAATCCTGAAAGTGCAGACTGCATCCGGGTGAAACTCCACGGGAACTGACCAGTAGTTTGTACAACTGGCTGTTAATCTTGTCAGGCTGATTATCTGTGGATTTTGTTTTCTCTGAATGGGCTAGCTTGTCTGATCCAGCTGGATATCTGGAGAGCGATCAGGAAGTTCTTTTCTTTTCACCCGGCCTGCAAACCTTCTGTTCCCCTTGAGTTCTGATGTTTGTTGAGGATACTTGTCTGCTCTTGTGACTAATCCTTCACTAGGTGCATTGATAATAAAACTGAGACTACCTGGTGCCTTTGACATGTGCTACACTAGGAAATGCTATTATTCGGAGGCATGAGAATTTTAAGTGTAATAAAAACAGAAAGTGCTGGAGAAACTCATCTGTCAGCATCTGTATAGAGAGAAAGGGTAACGTTTTGAGTGCGATATGACACCCCTTTAGAACAGCTCGAGATTAGTTAAGGCCAGTGACAGGGCTACCTGTTTTTATGATTTCTACATAACTATATAATAAATGCTTTTAAAGGACTAATTTGCAGAGCAATGGAGAAAGGGCTTGGAGTGTGACTGAATTGTAAAGAATGGGCAAGATGGGCTGAATGGCCTCCTCCTGTGTTGAAAGGCTCTGAAACACTCTTTAATAAGCCACGAGCCTCCTGAATAAGTTCAGATTTTAAGACTAATCTCTAATGTTTGCCTCAGTTTCAGCACAAACCCCAAGCTCCGTGTCAGCAGCAGCCATTGCAGGTCAGGCGGGTGTGGGTGTGGCCTCTACGGTCCATCTGAACCACATGCAGCTGATGACAGTCGACACCACTCATGCACGTCACATTCAGGGGCTTCAGCCAGCGTCGATTGGTGCCCAGGGGCTTCAGCCTACTTCAATCGGTCCCCAAGGGATTCAGCCAGCTCCACTTGGGGCACAGGGGATTCAGTCAACGTCTATCAGCACCCAAGCTATGCAGCCTGCACCACTTGGCCCTCAACAGACCACCGAGAACAAACCACCAGGTAAAGGGGGATAACAAGGTATAGAGCTGGATGAACACAGCAGGCCAAGCAGCATCAGAGGAGCAGGAAGGCTGACGTTTCGGGCCTAGACCCTTC